TTCTACCTATTTTATATATAAACATTAAAAATTAGTAAGTTGGAGTGAGAAATACATAATTCTTGGGAATTAAAATAAAATCTTTAGAAAAATGAGCTAAAGGGGAAGAAATAATTGGTGTTAATTATCAAATGCAAAAAGATTCGTCTCGTTGAAATATATTGATTTTGAAATGAATATGAGATTACTATATCTTTTTCTCTGTGTTAACAGAGACAGTTAAAATTTACATGTTTAAAATTTTAGGTGATTACTATACAACCAGTTACTTAAACTGATACAGAATAAATTCTGCCATTAGATATAGTTGTGATCCTAATCTTAGTAAAAGAAGATTTTTGTTCAGTCTTCATGCTACTTTTAAAAGCCCAAATGAAAACTCATCTTGCTTCCATAGGGATATTTGGTTAAGCACAAAACCCTTGAAAAGAAACATAGCTGGTCTTTTCTCTGTATGTTTTTATTCAAATATTTATTTTTATGTATATGCCGACATATTTAAGCAAAGTAGAGCAGTAAACAACTATTTTCACCCAAAATTTCTGCATTTCTTACAATTATTAAAATTAAATCTCCTATTTTACATTAGCTTAATTTTTATTTGGAAAAGAAGCAGTTAAGACATTTTAGCTTGTATTCAGTATATTTTTAATAATATTTCTATTCAGGAGATGTTCATTTAATTGGTCAAATGTTTGGTACCACTGTAAAACACTTTTCACTGACATTCTCAAGGACTAGTCATTGTTTTCTGTATCTCTGGAAAATATTTATTGTAATCCTTTACCTTGAAGGCTGTCTAAAAGAGAATAATTTTTTTCCATTCGTTCCAGGTCAAAATATGAAGCAAATAGCTATAAATGTCTGCAATAAATTTCCACTGTAGACACAAGTAATACATATACAGTAGAGTGATAAGTAGTTTCCTTAATTATTTGGATTTTTCAGGGTAGTAGATGAGAGATAGATAGGTAGATAGAGATATAGATATAAAATGTATAAAATAAATTACTGATTCTGATTGTTTTTCAGGCCTGATGGAATTGGAACAGTCTCAATGGAAGAAAAAGAGAGATTTGAGGAGATAAAAGAGAGACTCTCTTTCCTTTTAGAAAATCAGATAAGCCATTTCAGGTACTCTATTCATTAATACCGGTATTTGCTTCATGACTTCTCTCAAACCTGCAGTCCCCTACAATTGTTTATGTCTTCCTTGAACTACTCAAGAGTTATCGGTAGCTTCTCCTGCACGTTCGTCCACCTGTGGTCGGCTTCTCAGCCTGCTGCTCAGTTCGCATCGCTCCTGTTAAGCAGGCTCCTCCCCCCGGCTGTATCCGTCCCTCTGTACCTCTCGCTTGCCTGGTGGTTTCTCCTCCTGGCTGAGCCTGTTCCTTTTGGCTCCTGTGACTCACCCTCCCTCTCTCAGCATCACCAGGCAGGGAGACNATTTTATTAATAATGAAAATGGCAGGTAAACCCTAAAATGTTTCTGCTAAGTGTAAATACATACAAACTTTTGTTAGAGGTCTTTTTACCCAGAACACGTAACTATATTTTCTGCCTCTGTTTACTTTTCAAAAAAATTCCTATTTTATCTACTCTTATATGGTAAAAAAGTTCCAAATAATTTATGCCATATTAATGGTAATAAGCAATACATGTGATATTACTAATTCATGAATTCTCATAATATGTAACTGATACTTTTATATTCTATATACATCACTCATTCACTTCTTTGGCAGCTATGTATTAAGCAGCAACAACATGCCAGCTGCTATTCTAGGCCCTAGGGGTACAGCACAAAGGAGACAGACAGTAAACAAGTAAGTAAATATTTCACATGTTGGATAACAGCCATATGTACATGACAAGCGGTGAATCATGTAAAAGGAGAAGAGGCCTGTGGGAACGAGAGATTGCACCTTTACATCGGGTGGTTAGGGGTAAGCGCGCTAATCCTGAGTCACGTCAGTAGAGATGAGCGTGCAGTGTGTGTACCTGGGGATAGAGCTCCTGGGCTGTGGAAACAGCAGTGCAAAGGCCCTGGGGCAGAGCGTACTGCATATGTTTGCAGCCGGAGAGGAGGCCAGTGTGTCTGGAGTGAGGGGACTTGCTGTGAGGGGGCAGAGGAGGTCAGAGAGTGAGTGTGGGGAAGGAGGATCATATAAAGTCTTGCAGACCATTCTAAAGGTGTTGGCTTTTAC